CCTATAAAAGTTTAAATCTTTCTAGCAAAGGTTAAATCTTTCTAGCCAAAATGAGCAGTTCTATCAATAGCAGCAGCAGCAGCAGAAGCAGTTGTGGATTGTGTCCATTTGCAGTGCAGGTGATTAAGGGAAGATGGTTCACAGTTTTTGCCTCTTTTCTCATCATGGCTGGAGCTGGTGCAACTTATCTCTTTGGTGTGTATTCAAAAGACATCAAGTCCACTCTTGGATATGACCAAACCACCCTCAACTTGTTAGGCTTCTTCAAAGATCTTGGTGCAAATGTTGGTGTGCTCTCAGGCCTAATTGGTGAGGTAACTCCAGCTTGGTTTGTGCTCCTTGTAGGTTCTGCTATGAATTTTGCAGGGTACTTCATGATTTGGCTTTCTGTGATTGAGAAAATTGCCAAGCCTAAAGTTTGGCAGATGTGTCTTTACATATGCCTTGGAGCCAATTCTCAGAATTTTGCAAATACAGGAGCTCTTGTCACTTGTGTCAAGAATTTCCCAGAGAGTAGAGGTGTTATGCTTGGTCTGTTAAAGGGTTTTACTGGGCTCAGTGGAGCTATTTTCACCCAACTTTACTTGGCAATTTACCCAAATGACTCAAAATCTTTGATTCTTCTAATTGGGTGGCTGCCTGTTGCACTATCAGTTGTTTTTGTTTACACCATTAGACCAATGAAAGCTGTTAAGCAACAAAATGAGCTGAGAGTCTTTTATCACTTCCTCTATATCTCAGTCTCCCTTGCATTGTTCATCCTGGCTATGAGTCTCATTCAAAAACAGGTTGCTTTCTCCCAAGCTGCCTATGCCGGAACTTCCGCTGTCGTTTGTCTGTTCCTCTTTCTCCCTCTTGCCATTGCAATTCGAGAAGAGCTAGTCCTCTGGAACCTCAAGAAAATACCAGTTGATCCTCCAACTGAGGTGTCCATTGAGAAACCACAAGAAATTCAAGAAATAAAGGATGATTCAGATTTGCAAGTACAGAACACAAAGAGCACAACTTGTTTTGGTGACATTTGCAATAAACCAGAAAGAGGAGAAGACTATACAATTCTACAAGCACTCCTGAACATGGACATGATGATATTGTTCATTGCAACATTTTGTGGACTTGGGTCTAGTTTGACAGCAGTAGACAACTTGGGTCAAATTGGTGAGTCTCTGGGATATCCAACCAAAACAATAAGCACATTTGTGTCCTTGGTGAGCATTTGGAACTACTTTGGGAGGGTCTTTTCTGGGTTTGTCTCTGAAACCCTAATGGTAAAGTGGAACGTTCCAAGAACACTCATGATGACCTTTATGCTTGTTCTTTCATCTCTTGCCTACCTCTCCATTGCCTTCCCATTCCCTGGTTCAGTCTATGTGGCATCCGTGATCATTGGAGTTTCTTTTGGTGCTCAATTGACATTGCTTTTCACAATCATTTCTGAACTGTTTGGCCTAAAGTACTATGCCACATTGTTTAATTGTGGACAACTAGCAAGCCCACTTGGGTCTTATATTCTGAATGTAAAGGTCACTGGGATGCTCTATGACAGAGAGGCATTGAAACAGCTAGCAGAGAAAGGGTTGACTAGGTCATCAGTGAAGGAGCTGACTTGCCTTGGGGGTCAATGCTATAGGCTGTCTTTCTCCATTTTAGCTGCTGTGACATTCTTTGGTGCTCTTGTTTCTCTGATTTTGGTGATGAGGACAAGAAAGTTCTACAAAGGTGATATATATAAGAAGTATAGAGAAGCTGCATAGGTTTCTGTTGATTCCAAAAACTTAAACTCCAACAGCATCTCAAGGGCACTCCCTATATTGTTTCGTTAGATCCTCCTTATTTTAAGTAGTATTTAGTTCTTAATTTTTTCAATTGTTGTTCAAGAATTACTTGTAATAAGTTCAATCTATATAAATAAAGTAAAAGGCGGAAATTACATTTAACAAATTTTAAAAAAGAAAGTTCTCTCTAGGTCACTCTCTCGCTACGCGAGGAGAGCCATGCATCAAATATTAGGGTTTAGGTTTTTCACGTTTAGTCGTCATCTCCTCCTTGGCCTAACCACGTTCATTTTCATCCACGTTCAGCCACCATCGTCGCCCTCCTCAACTTGACAGTTTCGAGTCACTTTTCTTCCACGTCAAGTCAATGCCGTTTTTCTTCCACGTCGAGTCGTTGCCGTCACTCCTCTCTTCGACTCTGGGGTGCTGGCCTCGCTGTTGTCTCTCTCAGATCTTGGGCGTCGGTTTCTTCGTTCTCTTTCTCCTCGGTGCGTCGGCGTCTCTGGTGATTGCCTTGGTATGGTTGTTTCAGCGGGTATGCCCTTGCTATTGTGCCGACAATCTCGAAGTCAACAACGATCATGGTGCAAGCTACTTTGTTGGTCGGCGGTCACGGTGGAGGTAGCTTTCTCACACCCCCTATGTCGTTCGATCTGTGATCTCAAGCCTTACCTTTAAGAGAAGACAACTGCTGTCTAGAGATTTGGCGTGGGTGGCTCTTCACCTAGGGTTTATAGCTTTGATCCTCATTTTCAAGGTGTTGGGTCAGGTTTTTGGCAACTCGGGTTGTTGGATACCATCCTTTTACCCATCTTTATAGGTTTGGCGGGTTACTCTGCGATGGAAACTATGAATCCTGGTGACATTAGTGTCATTCTTGACAAACCTATGGAGACTGGCCTAGTGGAGTCTCCTGGACGCCTTCCTCAATGTGTTCTTGGAGCATTTGTGGGCTTGGCATCTGGCAAATGCTCTTATGCCTGATCCCCGTGTTCAGGTTAAGTGCCTAGGCCAGTTTTGTTATTGTTGCGTGGTATTTTCTTCGTTCTCCTCTTAACTGATCTTTGAGTCTCCGCTTGTCTCAAGGACTATGTTTTCATAAGAGGTTTCTTTGTCAGTGTTGAGATGATACGGCGTGCCTGAGGGCTTTTTTAATTTATTTTATTTCTTGGCATGTTTGTGGTTAGTCTCTTCTTTGTGTTGCTCATTAAGATTTCTCTTCTTTCATTGCCAATTGTTATTGGAGGTGGATGGAGATGGTGTGCTTAGTGGCTATTTTCTTTCTTCTTGGTTTATTGTGTTCTCTGTCGGATGTTCTCATTGTCTTGTGGCTATGCAAAGGACTATTGATTTCATAGCAGAACTTTTTTGACAGTTGGATTGTGTTGTAGTGTTCTCATCGGAGGTCTTTGCGTCGAAGGTCTATGTGTGAGTTTGCTATTTTATTTTATCTTGCTCTAGCATTGGTCCTACGTGACTGTTTCAGACTCTTTTGTTAGTCTATGACATGCGTGGTACTTTTTCTTACGCTGAGGTTTGTCTCTCAGAAAGGTTTTAATAAGGCCACTGTTTCGTGTCATTCTATGTACGCTACTTTGATTCTCTGAATGAATTCCATTTCTCAAAAAAGCAAAAGGCTGAGAATGAAAAAAAATTAAAAATACCAAAAATTGTCCTTGGTTAATAAATTTATTTATCATTGAAACTTTTTTTTTTAATTAAATAAGGATAATATAATAAGTTAACATTTTTTTTCATATAATTTTAAAAAAAAATAAAAACCAAAATAAGAAACATGATCCTATTTCTTTCTTTTCAATTTTTTTGTTGGATTCTCTCTCTTAATTCTTAAGTTAAAAAACAATTGACACACTCACGTGTATGCCAAGGGGCTAGTGTTAAGAAAAGACTTTCAGATTTAGCAACAAAAAAAAAAAAA